GTGGTACAGCTTTCAGACCACATATCAATCACAGGGGGTCTCTTGGTGGCCTTAAACACCTGCTTCATTAGTGCCTCTCTTTTAAAGCCTACAAAGTGGAAATATTATTATCTTCCTTACTATATGAAAATTTTACTGAGAAGGTAGGGTAAGCTCATTATAACTGATAAGTATCATTTACTGATTTGCATTTTGGAGTTTTACAGCACATTGAAAAAAAGTTATAAGTTACATTTAAAATCCTTAAAATGCCTGTGAAGTGATGTCTGCTGTATTTTAGATGGTACAGCAAATTGAGGTTATCATTAGATGCTCTGGATACATAGAAGCTTAATGTCAACAAGCCTTATTTTAACCCTAAATTTTAACCCTTATTTTAACACTAAATTCTACTCTGTTCTTTCCAGAGCTATTCTCCTTCTGAAGAATATGCTCTACTACTAATGTTAATATCTCTTTAAATGTAAACAAACAATTGCTTCTGCAATTTTAAAAATTCTTCTCAGAATGGAAGACCTACCTGGTTTGCTACTGACATACATTTGTCTACAAGCCTTAACTTCTGATAATTTAAAATTTAAAATTTTAAAAAACTTCAGATCAGTCATCCTAGAAACAACGTACCTGTATACTCAGCTGAAAAATTGACTGTCAAGTGGCTGTGGTTTACTAGACTGGTATTCTTCAGGTAAGGTGAAAACAACACACTATTTTTGGTATATTCACTTTGTTGCCTTGCTTGCCTCAACCACAGAGCTGCCCAGCTTTGTAAAGCAGTGAAGCATAACAAGAGATTAAAAGCAAGCCAGCATGATGGCATAAATTGTTGAGTTCTTTAAATAAAGATTTATTTATTTATTTAAATAAATTTGAAATATAAAATAAAATTTGAAGTTGTTTAAAGAACCAGTTAGACTTACTGAGGTTCAGCTTTTCTAAATGCATCAGAGAAGGAAGATAGGAGCTTGTCCTGCCTTCCTCATCCTCTGACAACCTGTGCAGGTGTGGTGCATGCTTTCAATCACAAAGTGATACCAAGAGGCAAATGAAAGCTCTGCCCAGCCCTGAAGTCATGTATTTTAAGAGAGGGGTATGTTTGTTTTTAAAGTCTCTGACACAATCCTTGAGGTAATGTGACCCCTCAGTGGCATTTCAGTCAGGACTGAACAAGAGCTTGTTAAAAGTTGTGATTCACACAGATGTTTTCCACATCCTGCAGTGTCTAATCATGATCAAACTAGTTAATATGCCTGGCCATAACACAGGTAGATTCACAGAGTATTCCCTCATCCATTATCTATACTGATTTGCAAGTGGGACTCGTATAACTCTGGAATTTTTAGTAGTTGTGATTCCAGTACATAGGCTTTGGTAGGTCTCACTAGATAAGCTGTACACAGTTTCAAGTTGAATGAAGCCAAAACTTTAGACCCAAGTTATCTATTAGTAAAAAGAAAAAAAACCAACTAAAACCAAAATGAAACCAAACCCAAAACCAAAACAAACAATCTCCTGATACTTCAAATGAAATTAATATTACACATTTAATAAGAAATAATGCTTTTCTTTATAAAAAATAGGAAATAAATTTTAAATAATGTAAAATGTTACTGGTTGCATTCTGAAAATATTACTGGTCTGTTTATACTTTCCATTGCTGATTATTTTTCCGTTACAATCAATGCCAGACAATATTGCATGTGAATGGCATTGTTAAGACAGAGAACAGCGTACTCACAAACACTGAAGTGCTTTGCACACTATTTTCCAATTGATTTTAGAAATACGTGATTAGCATTTTGAGTGCCACGGGAAAAAAAGAGCTGCCCAAAACCATACAATAATACTGACACAAAAAAAAGCGACACAGACTTTCTTCATCGATTGAATGAATAGATCCCCAAATGATACCAGCCTATATAGAGATGTTTACAAAAATGTCTGTTAAAACCTAATGTTTTAAAAGCTGCACATATCCCATGGGAGGGATGTAACAATGTTCTTCCTTATTCTCAGTTAATAGTCAACAGCTTCAGGTTCTTCCATGTCTCTCTATTGCTTTGTGTTATTAATCTTACCTGCCATCCTCTACTGCCTGCAACTGTCAATGTGCCTGATAGCTTAGCTCCAGGACCTGCTGCCACGAGCACCTATCCTGCTTGAAAAGCACACTGAATGCCATATTTCTGATGTATTTTTGGTTTAAATACTGCTACAGCAATCTGCGTTAATGAACTGGATGTATTATGTTTCTGAAGAGAGCATCGTATAACTGTAGAGTTATAGGAAAAGATTTAAATCTACTGGGACTAGAAGTGACATGGTTATATATGTTGCTATAAAGGTGTCTGATAGCCTTGTAATTTTTTTTCTCTTCCTAATTCACCTAATATTTATTATTGGTTGAAAAGGAGATAGTGAGACAGAGTTTTCTCTTTCTTCTGTGCATAGAAGTGTGCTTGTATTTCAAAGTAAGAAGCAATGAAGAATTACCATGAAGAGAAAATTAATATAATTCTAAGGACAGTGCTTAGAATTGCTAATCTGAGCATAGCCTGGGATAGTTTGTATTACAGTGTTTACAGTCAGGGCTGACTTTGTACTGAAGGTCATGCCATATTATTATGGTTGTGTATATTTGTGTAGAGGAGAATCTTATGTGTCTCAAAAGATCCTCTTTCAGGCCATTGCTGTACATAAGTAGTTGTAACTATGGCCATTTCCTCACCAGTCCTCTCCCTCAGAGCACAAATGTCTTTTGTTGCTTATTTTTAAAGCTGGGAAGGAAGCCCCAAAAGACAAACACATGTCTGCTAACGAACAAGGAATGTGTGTGTTGAGTTTCTGTTCCTTTCTGGCAATTATAGGAGACCTGTTAAAAAAGAAATGGGGCAGCAAGGGAGGTGAGTAAGGCAGTCCTTGTAGGGTCACATGACTACCTCCTTTTTTTTCCCCCGCAAATGTGATGTTAAAGTTGTAATTCACTTTTGTATCTCTGAAGGACTTAAGAGTAGTGCTTCTCCTAAGCCTATCTTGAGAACTTAGGAGGTGCTGAAACCAGGAGCTGGCTCTTGATAAGTGGATGAGTTTGAGAGCAAATACAGACCTTTTGGGTCCATCTGCAGTCACTCCTGAAACACTTGTTTGTGTGGAGTAGGCAAAAATCTCAGTCAGATCTCTCTTTAGATGCTGTATCTGCATCTGCAGGTGGCAGAATATGGGAGGAGAAAGGGATAGTTATAGCCATGGAAATAATTACTTAGCGAGTACAGGTTTAATGTCTTCTCAGTGTTTGATTAAACAAGTCCAACTACTAAACTTCAAGAAAATATTTTAGGTTAAATATTTATGCCTAGGTGCTTAGAGTTAGACTAAATCAATATATAAACTGAGGCATCTTAGTCCATGACACTACACACTTTGAGGCTGAACTACTCAGGCAGCTGAGCATAAAACAAAACTTGTGAGGTCCTGAACTTGTATAACACTCTCACCAGCCGTTTTACAATTGGGAAACTTCAGGAGCATTAATGTGAAACAGAATCAAATTAAGACACGCAACTCTGTGATCTTCAAATAAGCTCAGAGGTGCAAGGACTGTAGCTCCTGCTGAATTGTAATACCTGTGGATTTGTAGTCATACCCTCCTAGGCTTCTCGAATCTGAAAATGTGGACATTGCCATCAACTTAATGATGATGGCACACACTTCTTTCTGTCTTCAGTCAAACACAGTGTCATTTCTTTGTTTCTTAAAGTAAATGCTATATGCGGAACTAAAGACATTTTCAGTACCACTGGCATTTCCAGTGGCAGGTTTTCAAATACCTCTGGCATTTCAAATTGATTCATTTCCAGCAATGGACTAATTGCATTCCTTCAGCCAGTGCTCCAATAGTCTGTGCTGCAGAGATAATATGTAAAAGCATAAAAGAATTGTTTCTAAAGAAGGAACACAGAAAAGGCAAATTCTCTTGAAGACAGAGACATAAATGATTGTGCTTTATCGTATATCACACTGTTGAGCTTGGAATAACTTCAAGACTGTAGAACATTTGAAGCATTAAGGAAAAAAAATCTTCCTAGACACATTAAAGATCTGAGTTTTGTGGCATTGTTTTTCTTCTCTTTATAAACTACATTTACTTGCATTTTGTTCTGGTATCTTGTTTTGCTGCTTTGGAACTCTGCACCAAGAAGTGGGGTGTGTTTGTGTTAGCTGCCCCTCATCTTGGCTGCTACTCCAGCCCCACCTGGTTTGCTGAAAGCTGGTTCAGACCTCTCTACACAATGTGACAGCGAATGCTACAAATGCACATTTAGAGGTTTATCAGTGAATGCTGTTATCAGACAAATTGTACATGAAAAACAGTCAAATGACAGAAGTATATGACAGAATAAAGAGAATCCCAACAGCACAAAACTCAAAACTAAACATAAAAAAATCCCCACCCTTTGGGAGTGCTAATTACAAAATATGTAATGCTTGTGTTGCCTGATGAAGAAGGTTACACTGTGTTTTTACAGATGTACTAGTAAGTAGGTCCCATTCAGTAAGAGATCACGTTTTCACAAAGTTATGAAACCTGATTTCCATCCTGGCATTGTCCTTCATTTCAAACAATCAATCAGCTGCATATAGAAAATCTTTAATACTCACATAAAGATGGCACCTGCATCTTGTCCTTCAAAATTGCTCTCCCATTTCACACATGCATTCTTTTCTCCACACAGCGTTTCTCATCAGAGCATGCAAACAGCATTTGTGTACAGGAACTCGCAAGTGTGATATCTGGACCACTTCACATCTGCATCCAGGTGTCACTGAATGCATGCACACTGAGGATTTTCTTTATGTGTACTGTGTGTCTGAGGATACGGATTTAGAGATGAGGCTTCATCCCCTTCTAAAGTTCATTTCCAGCCCTGTACTATTTACGTGGATGTAAAACGTTTGCCATGTATTTTAAGCACTTTTTCTCTTTTCTTTTTAATTTTCAGTCCTAATGCTCTTCCAGAAGAGCAGCCACATTCCAGCTCTCAGTGTGCCCCTCTCAACTGTCTCTCTAAGCCTCCTCCTTAGCCCTAATCTTCATATGCAACATAAGAGAAAATGCAAACAGAGTGGAGTTCGTGCAACAAAAGTTGGGGTTGTTCCCAGCAAGCAGGTGGACAATCCTGCCTTGTTGCTGCATTGGCAAGTCTGGATTCATATCCCCTGCTCTGGCAACTGAGGGAAGGTTGAGAAGAAGAACACAAAGCACAGAGCCCAACCTATCAAGAAGACTTTTTATGGTTCCTCTGATTGTACTCAAACTGTGCTATCACAACTGAAGTGTAGTGAAATTTAACATCTCAACAAAAATGTTCCTCCCAGCTGCTTGGCTTTACCTCTGAAATCATGAGAGACTTAAGCCAATGTTAAAAAAAATATGTTACAAAAATCCTACCCTCACATACTCCAAGTTCAGCCATAGGAACCAGTTCAAATTTCCTTTTGTCTTCAAGGGTGTGATATTTATTTCTTATTTTATTTGCACCAGAATTTTGTGTTTATAAAATACAGTCTTCTTTTTTTTTTTTTGTGAGAGTTGTATTTAACTGATTTTATTTTTTAAAACCAAGCAGAAATAGCTTCAGTGAAGAATGACTGTGTTAATATTAAAAAGAGGCTTGTTGCATTGGCCAGCATATGGCCAATTTTTATTGCACAAAAATGTTGGAAATGGGTTGAATTGAAATGTTAACAATGACTGTATATTTTGCTGCTGCACTGATATTGTTTATGCACTTGTTTTTTTAATTCCTATTACACTAGCTTCTGGTTTTGTTCTAGCTCTTCACTGAAAGATAATTATTAAGCCTAAGAAGGAGATGAAAGGATAATGTATTGATTTGTTTTCAGTTGTTTGCTTGCATTGTAATTATATTTTTTGCATTTCAGACAAGTAGATGAATTGGTGCTGTTTTCTGGGATTACTTTCTATTTGGTATCTGAGAAAGAAAATCTAAAACAAGTAAAATGCTGTGTGCTAATTAAAAACATTCTTTCCTCCCACTCCCATATTCAGGATCCTAGCTCGAGGCCTTACCAGGGAAGGCTTAGTATGAATGGTGAAGTCATATGCATTTCGTGTGAAGTATTCTGTGGTGAAAGAACTCATGCAGGTAGGGTTAAAGGTGTGGGTCAAAGTTAGTAGGACTTTACTGTAGTGCATTTTTTCCTTGCCAAAAATCAACAGACACAGAACCTTAGCTCATGTCAGTTTATGACAAATACTCAGGTGATCTACACTACGCAGACTTTATCGCAACAGTGCACAGTGTTCCTAGTTAAAGATTCTTTCCTGTAAAAGCTGAGTAAGCCTGTTCTTTTCTTAAAAGCAGTGGGTTTCAGAACAAAATCAAGGATAGAGGAATTTATTTTGCACAGTACCTGGCAGCAAGGCAAGCGGCTAAATAAGGGGTTGTGTTTCAGCATCTCTGGGCTTCCCGTCCGGTTATCAGCTAGAAAAACAAGTCTGCAGCACTGCCTACCTGCCTACTTGTTGGTAACTAGCAGGCTCCTTGTTTTGTCAGGTGGCCTTAATTTATTTACAGAAGAAAGGCTTAGATACTTCCACATGTCTTTATTCCTTCTCTGCAGCACACGTACGACCTACAAGTGGGAAACACAGTACAGCCTGAGGTATAGAGCAGCTGGGGAAAAAAACAATTGCTGCAGGTGTGGTTGGAACAACTCTTTCAAATTCTGCCTGGAGCTGAGAAAATGAAGTCAGTTTTTTAGTAACAGTGCTTACCAAATGTTACAATACACAAAACATCAGCAGAGGAGAGAATCGGTGACCACTCAGTGTGCCTAACAAATCATTATTACCATAGTACCAGTAATGAAGGTGCTGTAAATAGAAATATTCTATGTCATCAACGTCTGTCGTGTAACCTTGGCAAAGCAGCTGAGCTATTGTAACAAAACATCCAGAGGTAGAGAAAACAGGAACAAACTGATATCCAGTTCTGATCAGATCAAACAGACAACACTCAACAGTGTTTCGACTTTGGTTTCCATGCGGTTCGCATGATTCTCCTCATAGATGTTTACATCACTATTTAGCATCATTCTTAAACTGTTGTCTTGTCATAGAAAAGTCAAGTGAAACCTTGTTCAGCTCTATCATAATGTCTGAGACTGAGATTAGCTGCTATTTTGATTGCTATTTTTAAAAAACCCAATATTTTGTCTGAGGCAAATTCAGCCTTCAAAAAGCATCTTCAGATTCCTGACCCTGTTTGCCTGGTGTAAGAATATCATGCAGTGGTCATGTCTGCATCCAACAGAGACAGCTACTGTATATTGTTAAAAAGAAAAGGAATTTTCCTAGCACTTTGAATACAGTTACCACAGACTGCACTTGGAATAGTTTTTCCTACTTTCATATCCAAATCAATTTTCCCTCCATTTTAGTTAAGCAGAAATTCAGTGAAATACATTTCCTTTCTATACAGATACAAATTTATTGGGAAAAAATGTTGTATCTGGACAGTTTAGAAACATATTTTTATCCAGTTGTGATTTGCAGAGCAACTTTGGGAAATCAAAACATTGTAGTGGCATGTCCATGTGGATCAAGGGTTGTGAAACAGCATCCAGTGCTATAGAAGTTGTGGCCCCGTTTTATAGAACTAATAAATTTTTTATTATCTTAAGTTTTAAATTCTTAATTTCTAAGTTTTCGATTTACATTTTTTTATATGTAGCAAAACTTAAGTGTTGGAAGTGTAAGATAACTAGAAAAAAGCCAACTTAAATGTACAAGTGGTTGTAGTTATTGCATTGTAAGTTATAAAACTATATAGGTCCCTGGGACAACTTTTGTCAGTTAATCCATACAAAATAAAATACATGCCTTGAACTTAAGATGATAAACTATTCTTTGTTACATGTTGATTGATGACATAAAACTTTGTGAGAGATTTTGTAGGAAATATTTACATGCAGACAAAACCAGAAACAAAAACCTGGGATTTCTAAGGGTTGCAAAATACTATATTTTGCCCATTTAAAGTGAATTTATGTTGTGTTGATATCTATTCTGCTTTTTAAAGATTAAGAAAAATTATACATATATTTTTAATGGTTGAATATACTCAGAAGCACTGCAATGTGTCATACTCAGTAAGGAAGCAATTCAAATCCTGCTCTGACTTTTGTGTCTGAAATGCAGCTTTTGTTCTCTATGATGGCCTTGAAATTTCTTTGGATTTGAAATAGCTACTCAAAATAGGGTTATTTAGGTCAAAATAGGGGCATTTTGGTTTGATTTTTTTTTCGGCTGTAGTGAAAAAATATTCCTTGTTCAGTGAAATGATCTGCTCCTGGAAATCAAGTTTATAGTAAATGTGTGGGGAAAAAACAAAAAAAAAGAAAAAAAAATCAAATATAAAGGCAGAAAAAGATGAAGAAATAAATTGTAAAATGTAATAGTATGGAAAATATATTTTCTATCAGTCAGAAGCTACCTGGAGGTTTTACAGAAAGAGGACATATTACCATTTTTTTATGCTAATCGTATAGAATTTTCTGCCTTCTAGAGGGAGGCAATAGTGATATTCTTTCTGATTGATCTGATTGACAGGTTGGCTTCTCTGTGCTTTCTCTATCCACATTTTCCACAGTAAATTAATGTAACCATAGTTATACAGTAGAGTTCGTAGAATGAAACTGTAATTAACGCTGCAAGTTTTAATGCCAAGATGGTTTTCAGTTTATTTTTTATTTAAAAAAAAATTATAACGTTGTTTAAGCCATTTGCCATATTGATGTGTGTACATAAAGGAGATTATGTTATGAAATATAACCTCACTCATGAAATATGACCTCACCTATGAAGGCTGCTCACGATAGTTATGTTGGAAATACTTAAGTAAACTGTTAGTAAAATCTGACCCAGTCCTTGTCGCATTGGGAACAACACCCAGAGTCCAGGCCCTTATTTTGATACCGACCTTATTGTTCAATCATGCAATGCCAAAGTCAGTAGTTGTGCTACCAATTCCGCTATAGTTGGATTGATGATGATCATCATCATAAGGTACAGATTACATCAGCCTTTCTGAGGTCTGTTCCTTTCTTTGGCAGAAGATGCGTATCCATTGAGGTTACAGTAAATTTCTTTCTTTTGTACTTCAGAAATGTTCATTTGAGAATGGCAGGCGCTGATGTTTTACCTTTGAAGTAAGATAATTGCTATAGTTACCTCTTTAGAAATTCCAGTCATCACTTCTCTTCAGTTTTCCTTTGCTGTGTGTGCAGTGAGTCTGAAAAGGATATATACTATTCAGACTTTTTTAGCCATTAAGGGGTTTTTTTAGTATAATTAAGCATCCTGTGGAAAAAGAAATAAAAAAGCAATTGCCTTTTGCCGTCAGGCACAAATGCATCAAAATATGCAATGTAAAATGTGTGCATGAGATTGTTAACATCGTGTAGCTTCTCCCTATCCTTAACTAAGCTAGAAAATTCTTATTTCTTGTGTGATATGCTTATTCCTCTTGCTAGAAGGGCAAGAGAACTATACAGAGAGTCTGTATCTTTCACTTGGAGGCGCACGGCTTAAATCCTTATTGGTTTTTAATCTGTTTCCTGCGGAGTTCTTGAAAATCCCCTTTGTGAAATGTAATGGCAACCAAGTGACAAACTGACAAAAAGTAAAGGAAAAATCCTACATTTCGTGGCTGGAGTTGATGTGCAGGCAGACTCTGGGTGATAGAGCCTTGTGTTTCAAAAATGTCTCTCTACGAAGCTCTGTATTTGTTTTGATTATTATGATCTGCTGTAAAAGAAAGGGTGGATAAGAGTATGTTTTTTCTCACGTTAGTATTCTGAGTTTTTATTATGTGGTTACTTGATTTCAGAAATATGTTGGAAATCAATAAACAGAAGAATTTGATAAAAGTTTCAAGTAGACTGGCTTACTAGCCGAGTTGTTATTTTATCAGCTATGAACAAGAAATAAGAGTAATCTAGCTTATTTTATTATTATTTCTTCTGTTCACAGATATGGCTATGTGTGCTATGCCAGTGGATAAATTAAGTCCATTTTATTAGTTATTGCCCTGTTTATTATCAGCCCTGTGGTTTGACTGTTAAAGGGTTAATTAACTTGATCCTTTGTAAACAATTAAAAAAAAAAAAGAAAACTGATGTTTTGTGACTTTTGTAATCTATTGAATGTTTCCATTTGCATGATGTTCTGTATCTAATGAACCATACAGATTGCTGTGTTCCTTTCAAAAGAGTTTTAACATTGGTGGAGTTTGTGACAAACACAAATTTGTATACTGTATGTTTACTGCTGTAATAACTCAGCTACTCCTATGTTGAATTGACATTATGTTGTCCTGCCTTCTTGGGGTTAAATGATGAAGTGTTTCTAGGTGGTGAAGAAAATATAAAAGTATATATGTTCATTTGCTAAAGACTGAGTATTGGAAACTCTTCTTGTTGTTACTTTATGCTAAAAGCAAAAAAAGTTAAATAATTCTTGTTTCCAAAAGTGCATCATTTGTTTTTAAAATTGAAGTAATTCCCATGTTAACTCTTCCTTGTCCTTGTAGACAATCCTAGATTAATGCCTTGTGAGGGATTCATAAAGTCTGTGCTTGTACATGTGTAATATGATCATGCAGTCAAATGGTTGGGAAAAACACTCTAGTGATGAAGAAAATAATTAAAAGAAGCTGATATACTGATTCTTACATCTTTATGTTCCAATTAAAATTACAGTGTAATGCATAACTGTTCCAGTGAATAAACTGGCCATTTTTGTTCATTTAACACCATTCTGTCTGGTCTACTTCTATTTACAGCAGTTTGCAGTGCTTAGACTTGGCTTAGACTTTCACAATCATTTAGCTTTTAAAGATCATTAATTGTAAGTCTAAAAGGCATCAGACAGGAAATTAAGAATGGAAGTCAACATTAAAGGAAAAGGGATTAAAAATTAAAGCAAAGATGCTTCCTCTGTTTTCTGAGTTGGAGGAAGATACTAAAATACTGTTTACCCATATAATGTTTCCAACAAATTTCAGTCATCTCTGAAATGCTGCAACATCTGCATAAAGTTTCAGTAGAAGAATGCTTTGTAAGATGCAAATCTCCACCCTCAGGGTATGTGGAAGCAAAGGAAGAGCTGAAGTTGGCATAAAATTGGCTTGGGAGTGCTGTGTGCAGGGTACCATACCTACTTTTTTACAGTAAGAAACATCCTTTACCATGTTCTGAATGCAAGGAGGTGAAAATCCCTCCACACTGATCCAGGAGCTCAGCCCTGGCAGGAGGGTGGCTGCTGTTTGCAGGGTCTCTGAGGGTCTCTGAAAATGTCCAGCTTTCAGAAATCGGTCAGGAAGAGCCTGGAGGAATGATTACACCTCCAGGCCTTCTGTGGTGTTTGACTCAATGGGAACTATTGGAGGGCTGGGTTTGTTTTTGGCTGGCTGGAGAGGTGCATTGGATAGCAACATGATTTGTGCATGGTGACAGAAGTGGGGTTCAAGAGCTGTTGCTTGTCTAAGTTCTCTCCACTTCTCTTTTTTCTTCCTTTTTCTCATCCAACTGGGGGAGGTCTCACACGTTATCTGTGCTCATTGCAGAAGTGCCTTTGGCAACACTCTTCCATGATCATTTTAGCAGGAGTGTGACTGCTCTGGATAGAATGTTCTTACACTGGGTGTTCCTCTCCTTCAATTTTAAATTAAAAGAGTTTCTTTTAAGAGTTAAGGAGAAAAAAAAAGAAGGGGAAAGCAGGCTTTTCTTAGTGTATTTGTTCTGAAATCAGTTTCACAGAGGGTTTCTCCTTATGTGAACATTCTTATTTCAGAGCTGATTTGAAAAAATTCAAACCCATATTGCTCCTTCCCCTTCCTCTGTATCATCCTTTCAGCTGGTCCTGTGCAACACTCTGAGAGGCAATGGTAGGAGTAGTCTGGGTTAAAAAAAAACAACAAACAACCAATCAAACAGAAAACAAACACTAAAACCAATCAACCAAACAACAACCAAAACAAACAAACACAAACACCAACAAATGACCAAACCCCAAAAAATCTCAACCAACCAACCAAAACTAAGAAGAAAAAACTAATTTCTTTTTTCAAAATAAAATTTGTCTCCAAAGAAAACACCTGTGTGTAATTTCTCACTTGGGAACCACCATTACCCCTTATTCTGGAGCAAGAGGTGGTTTCTGACAAATGAACTATTGTTTTTCATATATATATGTGTATATATATATATATACCAGATGATAATGGCAAAGATGCTGAGGCTTAAGTTTACAGTGACTGCCACGGCAAGTCTTTGTTTCTGGATACCTTAATAAATCCTGCAGTTATGTATAAAGAAATGCAGAATGCTCCCAGTTATACCTAAGGGCAGGAGGAGCTGTAGTTTGACTCTCTTAACACCATAAAACACTGACGGGCCACTGGCAACTGAGGTTAAGCAGGAAAAATTACTGCATAAGTTTGAACAGTGTTGAAAACTGCGTTTCATGAGACCAGTAGTAAGAACAGAGATACTAATTATGAAGAGGGCCATATCCAAGGGCCTGACAGTCACATCTTCTAGCAGCCCATGACAGACAAACATGAAAAAGAAGATTTATATGTAGAACCAAATGCGGGGAGGGAAATGGAGCTAAAATAGGTAGTACTAATTATACGCATGCTGGGAAAAAATATTTGGAATAAAGCCAGTTCTCATCTATTTTTTTGTGGTAAAGGCACAGGCACAATTGCTTTCTTCTCAGTGGAAGGTCTGAGTGATTGCCTGATTGAAAGAAGAAAGCCCTAACTTTGCACAAAAATAAGGCTCAGTACTATAGTTGGCAACTCAGCAGAAGCCTAATAACCCAGTAAAAAATATTGACCTTCGCAAGAATGATTCCTTCTTGACTAGAGTAGTGTATTAGAAAACACACAGTTCATTCATTATTATTTATAAATTCTTTTATATTGGAGGTATCGAAATTCAGGAATAAGGTTTGTTGGCTGGTTTTAGAGCAAAAAATATTTAATTTATGATTGAGAAAATATTATTTGTGAGAAAGCTCCATATGAGGGGGAAAAGAAGGCCTTTCATATCCCTTAAGTGAGTTATCAGGAAACTTTAGAAATAAATAATGACGGTTGTATCCATTAAAATTAATTCATAGGATCCCCAACCTGGGGATGGCTTTCATCTTTTTAAGTGTTGATTATATCTTTCAAGGAAATTGATTTTTGCTATTCAATGGCATCACATTGGTTAAGGTATTAAAACTGAGGCTATTTACTCAGATTGGAAATACAATATGGAGAGCGACATCAGTACAAAGCTTTCTTGAAGATCAAAATCTGAATGTAGAGGCTGTGGGGGCCAATATTTTGTCCTCTCCACAGAGATGGGAAAGACCTATGATCACAGGAGAAAAAGAGCTACTGTTTTTGAAGCACATAGGTCATCTTGTATCCCCCTATACAAGACTCTATAGCTTTGCTATAGAGATAAGAAACCTCTGTCAGAGATAGAGATAGACCTTGGTAATGTCAGATGGCTCAAAGCTGACCCATCCAAGGGAGTTTTTTCTATAGTGATACTGCTTGTCAATGCTCTAAGATGACGTGGCAGCTGTTCCTCATGGATGTATGGATGGCACCATCAGGTCCTAGACCAGGGAAGTTACCTTAGAATCAGGTGGAGTTTGACCAATGCCATTCACAGGTGGTTGGGAAACTTGCTTTGACCTGAATGAGTGGACCTGCCATTGTTTGTTCCTTTGAAATCTGATTTAAAGAGATCCGTGGGTTGGAGTAAAGGCCGTGGACTTTACTGGGCTCTGTCTGGATGTTGGGCGTTTACGTACACAGAGCAGATGGCAGGGCTGTGGCCATAGCGTGGATTATCTTGTACAATGTGAAGATGTGACTGATGAATGCTTTTGTGACCAGCTTGTGATTTAACTTCAGCCAAGCAAGCTGTAAAATTAGAACTTATATAAATGCACTTGATACAAATACCAACAATGTCAAATTCCTACACTGCTTAAAAAGAAAATGCCTCTGTGAAGCCACCGCTGCTTTCAAAGGCTTTTATTATCTAAGACAACTACAAAGTTACTCTTTTTAACTTCTGAGCACTCTATGCATATGAATTCATTCCCAAAACATCTTTGCAAATTGAGTACTGTTATCTCTCACCTACAGATAGACAAATTAAGACTGTGATGGGAAAACATCAACACAATAAAGTGAGCCAAGTTTTCTTACATGTAATCCTTCACCTCTCCACCCTCCACACACACAAACACCAAAGTGGTTTTAGGTGCAGTGGCCAGATGCTCTCAGTAAGGTGAGTTATCTAATCCATGTGGTGCATACATTGCTCCAGAACTTGCATTCCTTGAGTGCTGGAGTTGGTTTAGAGTTTGTTCTGTATTTCCTCAGTGCTTGATATTAATAGATCCTCACTATAAATAGCTGAAGTTTAACATCCACTTTCTGGTTTTAATTTCTGTAGAACTATGCCCTCCTTCTGACTGTCTGCCAGGCCTGTAAACCAAAATGGCAATTTGACTCACTGGACCCAAGAGGAAAACATTGCCTAAACATGGGAAAGCTTTTCTTCCCCTGACAGTGTTAGCTCAGTAAAATATAGATGTTCTTTTTCTGGTAGACAGCTTGGATTTCCTTTAAAGTGACTACAACCCTTTAAAGAGTGTATTCAAAACCATGAATATAAGTCTGTGACAAAGCCCAAATTAAGATTCTGAAAGTTCTGAAGTTTCAGACCCTTGTCTGGGCAGTTATGCTTAATGCTATTTATGCTTGAATATAAATGCATGGCACATTTCATTATGGAAAGTTACATATGTTATGGTTTGCAGTGCATAAAGCTTTGGATATATACACTATAAAGTTTGTTTGAAATACCGAGTTCCAAAATTAGACAATATTAGGTCTCTGGAGGTAAAAATACATTTTTAAAATTGTAAGTATGAATAGAATGCTATTTTTGAGATTAAGGATAAAATAGTGAGTTTAAGTGGAATATAAGCAGCGTTTGTATCCTTTTCACAGTCGTGTAATAATCACATTTCAGCCCAGAAAGATCCAAAGGAATCTGTGGAATGCAGAACAAAACGAAGGAAATCAAGGGAGGAAAACTTAGAGGACTCTGCAAATGCAGCGACAACTTTGAAGTCTCTCTGTTTCAAGTCACTATAAATTATTCAGAAGCACGCTGGAACTCCTGTGCGTGTACCATATGCCTCGTTAGATGCAATCTTAAGTACCTGACAGCTTGGTTTTTACAACAAGGAAAAGAAAGTTAATGCAGTATTGCAATATTGAGACTGGTATATTTTCTTACAGAGCTGGAAGTAATAATTACGCCTTTATTTTCACAACATGTTTTATCAGCCAGTTGCTCTTCGGGTGTAGATTTGTTAAGCAGGGAATCAAAACATTTTGCTTTATTGTTTTTAGGTAAGCATTTATAGAGAGAGAGTGGTTGATGTTTAATCTATACAGCACCTTAGCAGTACGTGACTCTTTAGACAGGCTGAGAGAGTTGGGGGTGTTCAGCCTGGGGATGAGAAGGCTCCTGAGAGACCTTAGAGCACCTTCCAGTGCCTAAAGGGCTTCTGCAAGAGAGCTGGAGAGGGACATTATAAAAGGTCATAGGACAAGGGGTGATGGCTTTAAACCGAAAGAGGGTGGGTTTAGATGAGATGTTAGGAGGAAGTTCTTCACTGTGGGAGTCATGAGGCACTGGGACAGGTTGTCCAGAGAAGTTGT